CAATTTCACCTGCTAAGAGCACAGGTGAGCAGGCACCATCACTGATATATATATATAAAAGCGTCTTTGGATACTAGGGAATTTCTACCTAGTGGTCTGTATCTGAATGTCTCTGTCCTTCTCTCCAGCTCCTCTGGCCACAAGCCAGGGTGAGGGGCTAGGCAGTGGGAATGCATGGGAAGAACTGTGGCACCATGGTCATAAGCAGCAGCTTTGAAGTTAGGGACGTCTGGGTCCAAATGCTGTCTTCTTTGCTTATAAAGGTAATAATCTTGAGCAGGTTACCTGACCCCTCTGAATATCAGCTCTTTATCCTATAAAGTGGAGAAATTAGCCCCCACCCACTGGGATGCTGTGAGGATTAAGTAACGTTCTGCTTGTAATGTATTTAACATTGTGTCTGCTGGTTATTATTGTGCAAGAAACAAAATAGATTCGTTACTTCAGGTGCTTCGGATTTCTTACTGCTACTTATTATGGAGAAAATAGTCAATTTCACTCCTAACAACAAATGTCTGAGTCTCCAGCACTGTGTGGGAAAGAGTGTTTACATCCTTCCCCAAAGAAGGAAGAGATAGGTAAACAGATGTGTAACAAAACAAATATAGTAAAATGTTAATTGCAGAATCTAGGAGGTTTTATGATGTTCACTGTAAAATTTTTCACTCTTCTGTATTTTAAAAAGTTTTCATAATAAAATGTTGGGAAAAAATTCAGTGCAGAACAGAAAAATTAACATATTATCTATAATGTCTATGGCTCATCGAGCTATAACAGAACAGAAAACCATACACAGCTAGATTCTCAAGCATAAATACCTTGAATGATACCAGCAGCTGTCATAATCTCTACTGAGACTCAGACTAAGAGATGGGACCGTGTCACTCGTGTGCGCGAGAAAACGATCCCACTGCTGTAACCTATATATGCCAGAATCCAAAGGGTAACAGGTGGCTCAAGAGAAATACTTAGATCTAAATAAGAATGATCTCACAACTCTCTGTCTCCACGCAAACGAATCTCCAATTGCCAGGTCACTGTTTGCCCAATGAATCTAGAGGCAGAAAATAGAATGATGTGCTAAATTCTAAGACCACAGTATATAATCAACCGAAGATATGGCTACAACTTACTAAAGTGAAAAGGATTTCCCTTCTCTTCTCCCTCTCTTCCTGCCTTCTTTGTCATTCTATATACCTTCTCACATAACTGTCCACCTCAATTATTATTTTTTAAAACAAACTTCCATATAAAATCAAGACTAGAAAATCAGTCATTAATTCCTTGCATATAAGTCATCTGCCCTGGCAGAAGACACCCAGAAAATGACACCCAAATATTGGTTTCATTTCCCAACAACAACATTTCACCTGTCCAACTACCATTCCATAGAGATCATGGAAGACTTCGGTAATAAGAACCAGCGGGTTAGGGAACCCTGTGAGAGCACAAGAGATCCAAGTGAAGCTAGAACAAGAACAGTAGCAAAGACGATTTGCTTTTAAAGAAGAAATGGCATCCAAAAGGCCCTATGTGTAGAGAATCCCTTTGTGGGTTGGTGACTGGCCAGTAAGCTTAATTTTTATTACCTTATCATTTTTCCTTTTTAAGAGTAAACTAATATCCTATTGACAAGAATGAGTCGTGTTGTTTTTAAGATTTTGACTTATAAGAAAGCATTATAAACATTTGGCTTCTAAGAAATATACAACCATAGATATCTAATCTCAATGCCATGTTCACTTCATTTACTAAAGAATAGTGGCTCACACTGTTCAGGGGTAAAGCAAATTGTAATCGAGACTTCCTAATAATTCCCCTTTCCCGTATCCTACTCAAGGACTCTTATCTAAACCACTTTGCCTCCTGCTGTGGAAATGGCTTATAGTTTTAAAGGTTTGCTCTCAAGAGAGGAAAAATGGTACTTAGCCATTAACCATAGTAGTGAAATGTTGGTAATGTGGTATGTTAGTACCCACACACAGTCTATTTCACGTAAATTATAGTACAGATGAACTACCCTATAATAATGTGATCCCAGGGCTCCGGACTAATAGGGCCACCACTGGGCCAACTGTTAGCAGTCAGAGCTGGGATGGAAGTTTGCATGGCGATAATAACCACCATGATTTAGTGAGCATCTACTGTGTGCCAAGAATTATGTTTACATTGCAAGGGCTCTTTGGTTTGAACCATGTTAGCACATTACCTATGTCGTGTCTAATTTTCATAACCATCCCGAAGGTAGACATTATCACCTCCATTTAAAGGTGAGAAAAGTATGGCTCAGGAAGGTTAAGTAACCTTATCAGATCACACTCTGGCAAACTGCCTTGCCTCCCTGGAAGCTTTCTTGGTGGTTCTGCAGAGTTCAATTCTATCTGTTTTAACATCATGGTATGAAGTTCTTAGACAAATTATTTACTTCCCTGAGCTATCAATTTCTCCATCCACAGAAGGAGAAGCACACTACCTGCACTTCAAAGGGTTGCGATGAAAATGAAGTGAGTTAACATAGGCCACGTGCACAGCACAATGCCCCATACCTAGTACACGAGCAATAAACAGCAACTAGGAATGTATTTTTACATTCTTAAAAATTCCCAGTTTTTGCTTTTATTCAAAAAATATTTGTCTATATTCAAACTATTAAATACTTATCTCTCAGGATACGACGCATTGAGATGCTCAGAGGTTTTTTGTTTTTTGTCTATATTCAAACTATTAAATACTTATCTCTCAGGATACGACGCATTGAGATGCTCAGGTTTTTTTTGTTTGTTTGTTTGTTTTTTTATGTAGGCAAACGGCAGAAGAGAGAGATACTTGAACAATTATCTTTACCTTCTAGTTGTCAGTGTTCTCTTTAATCTTGCTCCTCAGCTTTTCTCAGTACTATTATGTTCTTCATATCCCTTACTGTCCATAATCTGAGCTATGTATTTATCCTTCTAAGGTTAAAAAAAAATTACTAAAACCTTATCACCAACTTCTGCCTTGAAGTACAAAACAGCCCAGATTTAAACACTATAACCACATTTGCCATGTAGGTAATGTACATCCTTCTGTTTCTAGAAATATAGTCACGTGCAAATGATTTATTTCACCTTCACCTTGTTATAATGACCCATCAAATTTATATTCCCCATCCATCATCCAAATGGGAAAATAAACTTGTCAACTGACTTATAATAAGACAAAACTTTTTTTCTCAGAATAATTTTTGCACACTAAGTTATAAAACCAAGTTATAAAAGTAACGGTATGTCATCCCTGGTATAGTTCTCTTGAATAGCTGTTTCCCAGAGTCACGGATCACTCAACACAATATAATTTAGCAC